AGTGTAACGTGGGCATTACGTCTATCAAAAGAGAGTGCGTGAAAGCTATCGATATAATCAATAATACACGATAAAGACTGATATACAATAAACATTACAGCATTTCCTTTAAAGAAAATGATGTAATCTTTATTGTGTATTAAGCTACACGAATTCAAATTCGTTATGCATGAATACGGCGATGACCTTTCTACGGCTTTTCTCCATGCAATGTATTCATTTCCCTTACCACATACATGTCTTTCGATATATAAAATAAGTATCGCGTCATATCTTTTAATCTACTCTGTTACATCCTCGCCCTTATATAAGATCGATAAATCTCCATATAATTTCTTTTTAATCTTTAAGTATAAGGGATAAAGATTAGGGTTGTTACTTTTGACAACTTCAAAGATTCGAAGTTTGGAAATAATTCGAATTTTCAAAATTGTCAAAAATGACAGCTTTACTAAAAATATGAAAGTTGGTAAGTGGGATGCTCAGAATACCCCAAAAAAATTTTTTATTTTATGATTATATTTTTTGCTAGTATATTATGTTATGATTTATTTACATTTATGGTTTAAATTTACGTTAGTGACATATTGGAGATATTACATACTGAAAAAACAGTATTATATTATTATTTTATTTAAAAATAATCTCGTTGATTTTTTCAATAACAGTATTAATGAAACAAATAAAATTTGATTAATAAAAGAGCGTGATATATTTGCTTTATTAATAGTATTATTGAATTGATAAAATTATTTTCAATTAAAATACTGTTATTGATATAACGTTATTTTTTTTCAGTATTGAAATATAAAAGTAATGAACTTTAAAACTTCTAGGAATCTGAGCAACCTTTTATTTTCCTTAGATAAGTTTTTTAAGAAAGCTAAGGGCGAGAGCACAGAATCTTGTATAACGCATAATGTATAAGAAAATGAATCAATGAAGTCCTTCATTTCCTTGCTTTCCACGAGATAATAAACTTTGATCGATTTTCTTATCCTACATGCGTTATACAAAGATTTGTGCTCCGGCCTTAAGCTTAAGGTGCTGCAGCCTATCCATTAAAGGACTGCGTTCAGAAACTTCACTCGGGTGCATTCAGATATCGTTTGATCCCTGTTGTTCATTGAATATTAAACAAGGATAAAATGATACTTGGGTGTCCCCGGATGAAATTTCTGAAGGCAGCTAAGATTAATACGAAATAAGAGGTAAGCCGCTCACAGTAGAATTTAAAATCTTCGAGATTTAAAATTATTGCGAAAGAATCGAATCCACGGTGCGGCGAGTCGAGAGACGGTCTCGTGAGACGATTTAGCCAGCCGGCAGGTGCGCGGATTCCTCAGGGCACTGTCGAGGTCTACCCCACCCCTCCCGCTCGTTCCTGCAAATGAAATGCGCGTATCTGACGAAATCGCAAGTTCGGAATTAGTAAAGTGTTGCGTTCGCCGCCGCAGTCGCCATCGCCGTCGCCGCGTGTGTCGAAACGACACTCGCGATATTACCAGCCGACCTACACAACGGCCGCACACCACACACACATACACACACATACACACAAACACACACACACACACACACACACACACACACATACGTTACAGATACCAGATATCCTTCGGTAAGGTCAAAATGGCGGAGAATTCCACGATCGTCGCGCTCGTACACGAGGGGCGATATTGCGGGCACCGTTTGCATTAATAGTGCGCAACCGAACGTGACGCAAGCTCGCGAAATATGTAAATTGCCTAACAGCTTCGCCGCGCTCCCGTTTACATTGTAAAAATGACAGCGCGTTGATGTCGGGCCGGCCGACCCCGACGCGAAATTCCCCTCCCTTCTCTCTCTATCGGGGCATCCTCGATTTTATCTCGCGGATTACCGATGAGAGAAACCGCTATTTCCCTCCCGAGAGCAGTACAATTTTCGGTAGCAAATAGCGAATTCGATTGGACGCACTAATGCGCATTTAATATTTACATTAGTTACTCTTATGAGGTACTTGGAGAAATTTAAAACAATTATTTAATTAACTTTAAAACTTCTCTCTCTCTGGGTATCTGGTGCATTTTAAACCGTTATACACTGATTTAATCTGAATGTAAAAATAATATTTTGAATTAGAAAATACATGTTTTATGTAACAACACAATAAAATGTAGTGTGTGAGAACTTCACGGTTTAACCGTTTTATATTTATATTAAACACACATCTTTACGTCAATTTGTGTATGTCTTTAATATGTATCAGTATTACGACCGACTTCTATATACATATATATTACTAGATTCTTAATTCATAGTATTGTGATCCGCCTTTGTGAGTCAGAAATCCATTGGAAGAAGAGAGAAACTGCTAACTTATATGCAAGCATGGATGCGTCTCTCTCCATTTCTCAGATGTTTCTTGATGCATGCGTACCTACATAAAAATTAGTCACTCTTTCAAAAGTTAGCAATCTAGTAATATACTTATATGGATTGGAAAATGCTTCGCTATTGTTTAACGTTACACGCTTCACCATATAATAGGAGAGCACGAAACGTGATTAATTCAATCCAGGTTAGTGCAAACCCGATCGGACCGAAAATGCCATTACGTAGAAGTCTGTACGCACTGAGTGTATCCAATCGAATTCGCTAAAAGATTGAGAAAGATGGATCTCGCATCAACTGTCACATTCCTTTTGTCGGGAACAAACAGATTGTTTGTGTATCGCCGGTGGTGTCTCACGAAATGTAAACTCGCCTGCGATCGTACCGGTTTTAGTGCCTGCGTCAAATCGCTCATTCAACGTAAACACGCTCATTCAACGCGAGCGTACGCTGACTCACAATCAGTGGAAAATAAACAACGGAAGGAGAAAAAAGCGTGCGACAAACGTCAAGGTTGCGCTCCAAATATTCCTAAACGAAAGCCAAAGGATCTCGACTGAAGGCTCGAGAGTATTTCAAGTGAGAAATTTGAAAAAAGTTTTAGAGATAATTCTTCTTCTAACGTACTTAATAAGCGTAATTTCACAAACGTTATTCAACAGCACATTCGAATTGATACGAATTTCTCCGTTTTTCCAATGACATCATACTTCCGAGTCTTATCAGGAAATGATTGCGATTCATATTTGTGGAATCATTATTCAACGACAGCATGACTTTAACTTTTGACCAATGATCGAATTTTTGAAAATACCGGAAATATTCCAAAGTATAATTTAAATTAATAAAATTAGCGATACATTGAATTGCGACAATAACCAGCATAATTATCCAACTTTGATTAATTTATAACGTCAACGATGAGAAGTTACAATAATGTGTAATATTAGCATTGCTTCCTATACGTCATGGAAACTTGCAGCAACATTGCTGCAATGTTTGCAATGTTATTGCAATATTACTGGAATAATGTGCTGTATGAGTTAATCAAACAATGATCGTTGTAAATTACTACTGTTCGCTTATCCGTCTGATAAATACTTTCCCGGGAACTGAAACCATTGCAGTTCCGTAATTTAATTGGCTTTCGATGCCACGGACGCGCGAAAGTAGCGCGACGACGGAAACGCGATCGCGTAGGTCGCGAAAACGTAGAGGCTACGTTTACACCGTGCATTTAGGCCGCGGCCTATACAATAGATGTCTTTGTTTAACCTACGAGATAAACAAGGACATCTATTGTATAGGCCGCGGCCTAAATGCACGATGTAAGTGTAGCCAGAGTCACACTCGTAACTGCCGTTTTACGCGGAAAAAATTTAACGAGCCGACGATTCAGAGACCGTATACTCGAAAGATATCGCATACGGAAATATTATAACGTACACTCTCAAACTTTTAGTTAATAGGGAGTTTTTGCAATAATGTGAATCCAGATACGGTGAACGCTAAAGTCACGCTATCCTTTTCTTAATTAGTTGTTAAGAAGAAAATAACCTGACCTTAGCGTTCACCGTATCTGGATAAACGCTATTGCAAAAACTCCTTATTAACGTAAATCCAGATACGGTGAACGCTAAAGTCACATTAGAGAGCTTTTGCAATAACGTGAATTTAGATACGGTGAACGCTAAAGTCACATTAGGGAGCTTTTGCAATAACGTGAATTTAGATACGGTGAACGCTAAAGTCACGCTATCCTTTTCTTAATTAGTTGTTAAGAAGAAAATAACCTGACCTTAGCGTTCACCGTATCTGGATAAACGCTATTGCAAAAACTCTATTATCCTTTTCTTCATTAGTCGTTAAGAAGACAGTAACCTGACCTTAGCGTTCATCGTAATAACTGGATAAACGGTATTGCAAAAACTCCCTAATATCCAAAGAATAAAATCTCACTCTTAAGTGGCGTCTACAATGAGACTTTAGGTCTGTAAAATTGAAGCTTAAGCCGTCAAAAAATTAACCAATCATAGTCTATTATTTTCCTCACAACTGTGATTAATTAAAATTCTTATAATGTGATTAATTATTTTCTTAGGACACTTCAGGCTTAGTTGTTTTACGCCTTAAAATCTCATTTTGCAGACTGAAAATTGAACCTCACTCTTTCAAGATCGGCTCAATGTTCTTTAAAGGGAGATTCTACTCTAAAGAATTTAGAGAGTACGTCACGTAATGTTACAGATCTCCCCAATATTTTAATATCCGATATTTTTCAAAACTAAGGATCAGTCGCGTCGCGACCGGCGGATACGCCGGAGGCGACGTTCGCGATAATAGGGTCGATGGAATAGGCAGGCACTGCACTTTGCACTGGAGTCGCGCGAGATCGCGTACACGCGCGGCCAGAGAAGACGTACACACAAGCACTTGGGGGAGGGGGTGTCGCGCTGTTCGTCGTCGTCGTTTTCCACCCCGCGGAACGCGAAGGCATCCCCCGGTAGTATTCCACGGTCGATAGCGCGTTTCCTGCGAGTCGGGGGTAGGTCGCACACGCTCGACTCTCTTTCGGGCCCATTTCGATTTTTTTTCCTCATCGACGTGTGAAGACAGAACTTTACCTTCGTGTTTTTTTTTTTCCTTGATAATTGTCGCCGTGCGTCGTTCCTGAATCGGTGGGGTAGGTAGGTTGGTTAAGACGATTGGACGTCCGCGGGTGGCACCGCGATCGAGCGCAATTGCTACGACCGACCTCAGAGTCTTCTTCTTCTTCTTCTTCTTCCTCTTTCTCCTTTTCTTCTTGGCTCACTTCTCGTCGGCTTCTGCGTCACGTCGACGGAGATGCGACGCGTCGATTCGCTGCTTTCGTTTCCGAAACGCGGCCGTTGAGACTTGTCTCCGCGATGAGCTCTCGGGGACGAGACGTAAGAGAGAGATAGATAGAGAGAGAGAGAGAGAGATAGAGAGAGAGAGACAAAGAGAGAGAGAGAGAAAGCGTGCGCGAGAGACTCTCGGTATCCGCGCAACGGACGGTCCAACGTTTGGGCCGACCCACCGCTCAGAAACGACGGCGGCAGCAGAAAGAGCGAACACGAACTAACGTCGCCATTGTGCAGCTGACAACTGCGAGCTGGTGGACGAGCGAACGCGAACGTAACCGTCCGGGAGCACGGCACTTCGGCGATCTTCGGCCGCACCGTCGCTCGACGGAGAGACGCGAACGCGCGCCTTCGGCTAACATCGGTCGTCCTGGCAGTTCCGGCGAAGCCGCGCGTGGATCCTGTCTTTCTGCAACGCGCAACGGTTCGTTCGATTTAACTTCACCCGGTATCGGAACGGTACGTACACCGGGTATACCGTCTAAGATATCGCGATTCTTTCTTTAATTCGATTGAACGATATTGGATATCTGAACGCAATCGCAGTGCGTATGAAACGTTTTACCGCACCCACTAAGGCGATTTTCTACCTTTTCATTTTAAATTGAAGCAATTTATATTGAGGCCATTTAATTCATGCGTTATTGATTTTATTTAGAAGTCACTCATTCAACACAATGGGCAATCAAAGCGCTAATAATAACGTTTGTAATCAATTTATGTAAAAGATACATTTTTATTATTTTAATGCACCACTATAAGGCGATTTTCTGTTTTTTAATTTTTTTTTAAATTGAAGCAATCGAGGGTATTTAATATTATATGCTAGAAGTCACGTTGGACAATTAAAGCTCTAATAGTAACCTGTGCGATATAACGTTTGCAATCAATTTAATATGAAATTTTAAGATGTTTACAAATTATTAAGTTAATAAAAGTGACACTCGTTGGAATATCTGCATAACGATGTTCCCATTCCAAACCTGTCACCTTTTCGGAGGTCAATGAGACGATGGGATACAGAAGTGTGTCTTGAATCGCCGGAAATGGGAACAGTGTTACATCACGCGTTGCCGCCACACGTGTTACGATTGCGCACGCGGCTGATCGTTGTCGTAAGAACGGTTGGCTGAAATTGGGAAGGCCAATATTCGCAGAAGCGACAGATGAGTGCCTAATAATAACATCGAGGTAAGTAAGAGAGACGCGTATCTTATCTGTATCTTTCTAGAGGAAGCAAACACGCCGATCCACGCGAAAAGGATAAAGTATGATCAGAGGCATCCGGTCGCGAGAGACGCTACTGGCCGTCCCCTCCGATATGTGTAAATACTATATATACGTGGACTCTTCGAATCGCGACACGCGGTCGTACACGTATCAACCTTATCAACTGTTTTAACGTATAAGAGGTACCTGAGCCGAATGAGAATCTAATTTAATTTATTTCTAAAAAATTTCTATTTATAGGGATATTGAAATAAACTACTTAGGTGAGAATCAAATCTTTGTTTCATTCACTCACGAAAATAAAATATATTGTTTATATAGAATATTTGTAAATAAACGAAAAAAATTTTTTTTAAATTCTGACTTTGGGTCTTATTACATGCACATATGAATAAAACACATATAATAAAACTCAAATCAAAGATAAATTAAAAATAAAGAAAGTATTACATTATCTTTCTAAATCAGTTTTAAAATGATTATTAATCATAAAAAGAAAAAATTCCTTAGGACTTACTCTACTCTCAAATTTTACAATTATCTTAATTAATTATTTGTTATAATTATTTATTATTTATCTTAATTAATTATTTACTCTCAAGCATTACAATTATCTTTATCGAAATCGCAAATTATATGTATATAATTAGCAAGAATTTGGATAGATCCGATTTATTTTGAATATTTTGAATATGCGCACCGGGATTTTTTAACGTGGAAAGATAGTAAGATTGAAAGAGGATCTTAAAAATTCGCGCGTGCATCCTCCAAACAAGTGAGATCTCGCGAGAGACTCGTCCGGCGCGGTGCAACGCGCCCTTGACCTACCTTAACGTTTCTCGTTGCGCGCGGGTGGCACGTTTTAAACAATTGCGCGTATAAGGGCATGCAATTTCACCCACGTATGACCGTGACGGGTCTCCCACACTGTAGAAAAAAAAAGTATATAAAATCATACGAGCGACAAGTGTAAAAATGACATGATTTACAGCGGAAATGCATGTACTTTTTTGTAAAGTAATTTTTGCACTTGTTGCTCACGTAATTCTATATGGTTTCTTTCGCAATGTGACTTAAAAAATTTATTAATGGGAGAATATGACATCAGAGAAATGTTGGGAAATGATTTATGAACCCCATTACTGAAAGATTTTAAAAACTATTTCAGGAGCGTAAATTTGTGGATTTAAACTTGAGATTTTCCAAATACGGAGTTAACCGTTTTTACATGAAGCAACATGTTATTTTATCTATTTTTATATTCAAAATAACAAAAGTTTCTACAAAACGAATTATTAACGTAAAAGAGAGACAACGTAATATTACAGAATAAATTTTTATATTAATTATGCACGAATGACGTTTGCTAGAGAAGTATAAAACTTTTATAAAACATGCATTAAAGTAATATTGTAGCACGGATATTACAACATGATTTAAATTTTAAAAACTTTAGGATATTCAAATTCATTTCCTAAAATTGACAATTAACTTTAACATGTGTCTATGTATAGGTACGCGAATTATCGATTTGTGTATATTCTATAATATATATTCCATACACACACACACACTCCGAAGTGCATACGCAAACCGACTCTAGGTATCGCGGACGTGTGTATAGCTGTACTGGCGTACATTTCGAAATGAAAGAGAGAGGGAGAAAGAGACAGAGAGAGAGAGAGAGAGAAGCATCATTTATTAAGCGTTCTGGGACAAGTTCCCTCAAGCGCAAAAACACCAGTACAAAGATGATCATGTAATAACAGAAGGAAACATTGTTTTTCACATAAAACAATATTGAAAAAGAAAAATTTATATATGTAGAAAGAAAATAAAAGTTCAGGTGCACGTAGACAATTTACAATTTCAAACATGTTATAATTTTACTGATGTGTGTGTGTGTGAGAGAGAGAGAGAGAGAGAGGGGGGATGGGGGGAAACACAGAGACAGATAAGGCCACGATTGCGTGGCGCTTGGATCATGTTCGAGTCAGGCCAGGCCTTCGTTTCCAAACGTATCCCCCGCGTTCCGGCCGCCGGATATTGGTCAATCCGGGGCCACCTTTTTTTTTCATCTCGCACACCATTCTGCATACACGAGTGCTGGATACAGCGATGATCAGCTGGACGCGCGCGAACGCGAAGCAGGCGCGATAAAGCGCGAAGAAAGAGGATCACGGTCCGATCGATATGCTCCGTAAATTATACGCGCCGCGTGGCTTGTCGCAACACGACGGCCGTTTCGCTGAGAGGGATCCGGAAAGTCCGCGTGATTCGCGCGCGCGTTATCGTCATCGACGTTATTGCCGTCGCGTTTCGACAGCGCCGGACACCGTCGACATTATCGCAATATTTGTTTTTGTAATAATAATAACGGTACGATTAACAAAAGTGCACGAATAGTTTTGAAAACGCTTGAAGAATATGGTAGCCACGTCCAGTCGAGATATTTCCGCTTTTATCCAGATCCACTTGGAGAAAATTTATCTCGGGACATTTTTACTTTCGTCCTCAGTTATGTCGCCAAGAGAAATGTTTTCGCCATTTATTTGCAGTTTTGCAATTCTTTAAAGGAGAAAGATGAAAATGGAAGATATTATGTTATACGCAATCATGCACAATATACGATTATACATTAGATTGATTGCTTTCGTACAATATTTATTTTCTATCAACTTTCCGAAGACATAAAAATTGCATTAACGTTAATTGTTAGGCCTTAACGTGATAAATATAAATATGTTTTATATTTTGTGAATCCATTGTGTGTTACGTTTAATTATTTATTCCTATTTTTTTTATTTTTCTAACGTTTAACATTTATTTGTGTTTGTAATATTCCTTTCATTGTGCGCAGAGCCTTATTCTTTCATCAAACACGTGACAATTGTAACCAATTATTGATTATGACTTTTAAAATCAAGATTAAATAGATAAATCGACTTCTTGAGATTAATTTCGATTTGAGATTAAGACACTATGAGTTTGTAATTAGTCAGTTCTCTTTAAATCTAGAATAGATATAATCACTTCAAATTTAGAGAGTTCACAAAGACGAATAAGAAGGGTTTAGGAACCGGCGTGGTTATCGATGCACAAGTCAACAAGTTATTTTCCTAATAAAAAATCTTTAATAAAAATACAAGTATCTACATAATCGTACGTTTCGGCTCAAATTCGAGCCATCCTCAGCGTAAACCTTACAAACGCGTACCGTATTGACAACTAATTAAATTTCGCATATTACAACGTCGTATTGTTACATAAGATGTTACTTGTTCTGGTCTCAATTGTAGGAGGAAAGAGAACCATCCTTGGCACACTCAACCAGCTCCTAAACTCGATGGAAAGGATTGTATATATCTTAACTTCAGTTATTGCAACCAAGTGACAAGCAACTAATAAACCTGTGTGCTTCACACGTCAATCATTGAAATATATCAAAATTGTTACAAGTAAAAAATAATCAATTTTTCGTCAGACGTTGAATAGAAACGGTCAATCTTAAAATGAGAAAGATTTTTTATTAGGAAAATAACTTCTTGATTCGCGCATTGATAACCGCTCCGACTCCTAAAGCCTTGTTATTCATCTTTGTTTGAATTTTAAGGAGTCTGAACTTCGATATTAGAGAGTTCGATTTGACGTGACAAAAGTCAGGGTCGCCATAGACCTGGAAAACCGGGAAAACCAGGAAAAGTCAGGGAAAAATATAAAAGAGACTAGAATTTTGAACTTTGCTCGCAATTCCCTTAAATTGCTCCTATTCCAAATAATTTTTATAATTTTTTAAATATTATATCTGACGTTTATAGTCAAATACGTTCAAAACTCGTGCATTTAAACGATTTTAAAAAATAATTAAAATTTATATTTTATTCAGTAATTTTTTCCAATACTAATTAATTTTTTGTTGGCTTGAATTTGCCCCTAAAATTTTATTATACTACTAAGCTTCTTTTGCGTTTTTAATAATATAAATTAGCTTTCTTACAATCCTTGATTCTATATGTTAAAATTTTTTACATATTTTATAATGTTAAAATTTTT